TCTGGGATTAAATGAAGAGACAGAAGGATGTGAGAAAGCTCTCCAAGACAGAAGGATGTGAGAAAGCTCTCCAAGACAGAAGGCTGTGGTTAGTTCTCCAAGATGTTTGGAACAATATACCAGCCGAGTTCCTTCAAAAACTGTGTGCAAGTATACCTAAAAGAATTGCTGCTGTTTTGAAGGCAAAGGGTGGTCACACCAAATATTGATTTGATTTAGATTTTTCTTTTGTTCGCTCACTTTGCATTTTGGAAATTGACAAAAATAAACAATCGTTATTTATATTTCTGAAACCATTCTTTGTTTACAGCATTTTTTCACACCTGCCTACAACTTTTGCACAGTACTGGACACAACCACCGCCTTATTCCTTTTTGAGGTGAAGAATATTAGGCAGAACATAGAGGAGGGACAAGAAGTAATAAACAATAGCAATAGCAATAGCACTTAAGATCTATATACCGCTCCACAGTGCTTTTACAGCCCTCTCTAAGTGATTTACAGAGTCAGCCTCTTGTCCCCAACAATCCGGCTCCTCATATTACCCTCCCCGGAAGGATGGGAGCCTGAGTCAACCTTGAGGTCAGGATTGAACTCCTGGAATGAGCAGTAAATTAGCCAGCAGTACTGTATTCTAACCACTGCGCCACCAGGGCTCTTACCAATAAATTAAAGGCACGAGATAAAACAAAACAATTGGAAGTATGTAACACACATTAATATCCATATATCTTTCGGTACCTTATCTTTAGTTCTTTAAAGTAAATTTAATACAACATTGTACCATTGAATGCAATGAAGGAGTCACCAAATCAAACAAGCTAACAGTATATAGTAGCCTACTCAGGGAATCACCAGGAAGAAAAGAACTCTTGCACTGAACAAAGACATTCATTCCATTTCACAGCTACTAAGGTTGTTGGCTGAGCTGGTACAAAAATAGCCAGGGATTTGATTGAGCCCCTTGTCAGTCAGCAAGAGAGCTGGTCTACCACCAGCTTCTCAGGTACTTAAGTGTTCTGACCGAGGCTTCACAAGAGAATGAAGCAAACTCCTCGTCCCGACAAAAAAACCCTTTTATTAATTTACTGTGAATTCTGCTCATTCACATCAGCTGATCCGGAGGGGACCGGAAGTTCTGTCTCTGTTTCTGGCACACTCTTGCCAGCCCTAGCATCGCCGGGCCTGGCATTCGTTTTGCAGCCGCCACTAAGAGAAGGGGCGCAGTTGCTAGGGTTTGCAGGAGCGGCCTCCATGAGGCCATTCTGCGTGGCTGGCAAATGCATGTAGAGCATGCTCCTCCCTCCCCCCAGGAAATAGTGGGGACCGGCTGTGCACGTGTTTAAATATTTTCAGGGAGGGCTTATTTTGGGGGGAGGGCTTATTTTAGCGCATGCACTCAAAAACCCGATGGGGCTTATTATCCAGGGAGCTCTTATTTTCAGGGAAACAGGGTAGCTCATTGGGTGATGAGACATCTGGAAGAAAACCACCAGAGAGCACAAATTATGTCCCACATAATGACCACAGCGTGTTAATCTGGCCAGGCTGTTTAAAATGCTGCCGCCTCTTGCTTTAAAGCAGGGGTGTCCAACCTTGACATGTTTGAGACTTGTGGGCTTCAACTCCCAGAATTCCCCAGCCAGAATGGTTGTTGAAATCCACAAGTCTTAAACGAGCCGCAGTGGTTAAGAGTTGCAGTACTGCAGGGCTACTTCTGCTGCCTGCCGGCTGCCTGCAGTTTGGCAGTTCAAATCCCACCAGGCTCAAAGGTTGACTCAGCCTTCCATGCTTCCGAGGTGGGTAAAATGAGGACCCAGATTGTTGGGGGCAAGAGGCTGACTCTGTAAACTGCTTAGAGAGGGCTGGGAAGCACTGTGAAGCGGTATATGCCGTATTTTTCGGAGTGTAAGATGCACCGGAGTAGAAGACGCACTAAGATTTTGAAGATGCAAATTTTAAAAAATAGTTTTTGCACTCTGCAGACCTGCCCACAACTGCCCATTTTTCATGAAAATGGGCCAGTTCCTCTCCCCCCCCCCCAAAGGCATGAATTGCCTTTAGGAGGCTTGTAGAGTGCTCCTAGGGGCTGTGGAGAGGAATTGAGAAAAAAATGGCCCATTTTTCACTCATTCCTCCCCTCTCCAGCCCCCAGGAGCTCTCTGGAAGCCTCCTAAACGCTCTGAATGGCCATTTTGGTGAAAGGGGCGGGGTTTCAGGAGGCAAACTGCTGTATTCAGTGTATAAGATGCACCCAGATTTTCACCCTCTTCTTGGAGGAAAAAAGATGCGTTTTATACTCCGAAAAATATGATAAGTCTAAATGCTATGACTATTAAAGTTGCCAAGATCAGACACACAAACCCCTGCTTTAAAAGCTGAAGTGATGCGGGAGTCGAGCAACGCATTCACAGGGGCTTTGTTGCTTTGCGCCATCCAGATCAACAGTGGAGACTGCGGGGCTTCCATTTAATGCGTGGCGTGGCCCCATTTCCACTCCTGGCCCCTTGAGCCCGGGTGTGTTTCTGCAGGGGGGGGGGTGTCCCTCAAAACTCAGGCTATCGAAATTCGTCTAAAAAAACCACAGGCTTTTAACCCCTTGCTCCCTTTTCTCTCCCTTCCTTCTTTAGGTCAGCCCCAGCTCATGTTGACGGCCGGCCCCAGCGTGGCAGTCCCTCCTCAAGCACCTTTTGGTTACGGCTACACCGCACCTCCCTATGGGCAACCCCAACCCGGGTTTGGATACAGCATGTAAGGAAGCCAGCATCCTTTTGTGGAACCTCCACCGTCCCTCTCACGCCCGACTCCACAGGGAAAGAAATCGAAACCTCGTGTCCTCGTAACATTTATTTTATGAAGGACTGTGTTTTTCTGTTTGTTCTTCCTCTCTCCTCCCCGCCTTCCTTCCCCCCCCCCCAACTAAACACCTCCTCCTCCTTTCTTCACATTCCACATCTTCCACCCCACCCTACCCTCCGGTGGGAATACTTTTAAATGTTCCAGNCCCCTAGAGTCAGGAACGACTAGCACATATGTGCAAGGGGAACCTTTACCTTTACCCCTACGGGAAATAAGCTTTCCGAGTCTCCTGATTTAAATAACAATAAACATACTCTTTGGGTTGGATGGGTGGGTGGAATTTCCACAAAATTATTCCACGGGTTTTCCTAAACTGGTGATCGCTTCTATGTATGCCACTTAGCCTAGACAAGGATCACATTTGATGCCCATTTTGTTTAGTACAGGAAGAAAGAAAAGAAAAGCGTATTAGAAAACCTTTGAAATATAGTCGATTAAGAAGGGTTAGTCCGGTCAGGAGACATCAAGAGGAAGAAAAGGAGAAATAAAGGCACCCTAGAAAGAGAAAGCCTACAAGAAAGCTTGTATTATTTGTCACTGTGAGCACAATACAACAGAGTCTCCAACCCACAAGTTCTTGTTGAAAAGATTGGGAGGTTGGCCAACAGCATTCTTGGTTACTTAAAGCATAGCACACATTAAGTGAAAGTTGGAGCAGACGGATACAAAAAGTAGATTTTCTGGATTGGAAAGTAGCACAATATTCTCCTACAAAAAAGGGAGAATCTAGATAACTGAGAGTTAGATGGATAGTACCTAAATTTCAGAGTTAAAATAACTAAAAATGAACATCCCACAATTCTATGTATATAAGGGGCCTTGGAATTCATTGTTGGAATGTATTTTTATGCAACAACTGCAGTAGTATTCAGCCAGTAGATGGCAGCGTTTACAAGTTTGGCTCTATGATATATCCTCTATGCTCTTTTGTTCTCAGTAGAGTTTCCCATTTCCTGTTACAGTTAATTGAGCAGTAAAGCACATGGCAAGAGTAGAGCAGTTGAGCAGCAAAGCATATTTGTTTGCTCTGTGATGTTACATACAAATAGAATTCTGAACCGGTCTGCATCGAGAGATTATCTGAGGATTGTGCTCAACATTATCACTCGGAAAAATACAGGTAGCCCTCAACTTACGACCATAAATTTTCTGTTGCTAAATGAGTCATTTGTTGCGAGTTTCGCCCCATTTGATGACCTTTCTTGCCACAGTTGTTAAGCAAATCACTGCAGTTGTTAAATTAGTAACACTTGTTATTTGAACCTGGCTTCTTATTGGACTTTGCATGTCAGAAGGTCACAGAAGTTTTTCATATGACCCCCGGGAACTGCAGCCATCATAAATATGGGAGAAAAATGATCATAAATCACATTTTTCAATGCAGTTCAACTTTTGAACGGTCACTGTTGTGGCCCAGCAGGAGCGTTAGAGCTGCTACCAGACTCCAACAGTGAGGGGCCCCATGAGTTGGTTCTGGAGGATGTGGAGGACCCTGGACAGGGTTCCGACTCCAAGCAGGGAGCAGAGAGGCTGGTTGGCCACCAGGAGGCNTAGATAGATAGATAGATAGATAGAAAGATAGATAGATAGATAGATTAGATTAGATTAGATAGATAAATAAATAGACATTTAATTTGATTTTACATTGATTTGTGTTTACTTGCACAGTAGCTGCATCAGTAGAGGTTAAAACATTAAGAACCACCAAGAAAATCCACATCTCCTTTCAGTTGCAGAAGACATGATTCTGGATCGGTCATTATTGCCTATCCTATCCTACCTCACTGGATTGTGGGAAAAATAGATGTCACATCACCCCAATGGAGCAGACGTTGTGGGAGCTCCATCACTGGAGGCTTTCAAGAAGAGACTGGGTTGCCATCGGTCAGAAATGGTGGAGGGGCTCCTGCTTGAAGTAGGGGCTGGACTAGTTGACCCACAAAGATCCCTTCCAACTCTGTTAATCTAATCTAAAAAGTAGAGCTGCTGGGCTCAGCATGGTCTATCATCTGTAGAAGATGGCATTGGAAGGTTGGTGGGGGGTTTTGGGGAGGGAGAGAGAGAGTGTGAGAGAGAAAGGGCAAGAGGCAGGGAGGGAGAGAGAGGGAAAGAGTGGCTGGCCAACTTGGAATAAAGCTGCAGCCTTTCTCCAGAGTGATGAGAACTTACCTCCTTCTGCTGCATAGAAGATCAGGTATTCATCTACTGCAGCGAGGGCTGGTTGCCAAACTGCTAAAGCTTTGGAGTCCGTGACGTTTACTACCCTCAGCCCAGATGGACTATCCAGTTCTAGAAAGAGAGTGACACCGTTACAATGAATAACCACTCCTGATTGAGCGCAGAGAACATACAAGAAATAAATCCCAATGGTGCTTTCTCTCCAAGAGCCAAATGGACTGTCTGGTTTTTCTTTGAAGCTCTTTCACTTCTCATCCGAGAAGCTTCTTCAGCTCTACAATAATCAGATTCCCAATAAAGAAGACAGAAGGACCCATGTAGTTCCTCCTAAATTTCTTCTGGCTGCCCCAGAATGCACTGTTGTGCCCCACCAAATGGTCAGCGGAGCAGATTCGGACAGTGAGGAGGTTGTGGAGGAACATGGGCCAGTCCTGGAGTCTGGGGAAGGCTCGGATGAGGGCTCTGTGTTGGAGGCAGAGATGGGATNGCATCCTAATTCTGCCCACTACCAGCAGTTCGATCCTGACCAACTCAAAGTTGACTCAGCCTTCCATCCTTCCGAGGTGGGTAAAATGAGGATCCAGATTGTCAGGGGCAAGAGGCTGACTCTGCAAACCACTTATAGTAGGCAGTAAAAGCACTGTGAAGCGGTATATAGGTCTAAGTGCTATTGCTATTGATCTGTCTGTCTCTCCGTCCGTCCGTCCTCACACCTGAGCTGCGCGATCCAAGGAAGCTTTTTTTTTTTTTTACTACAGTTCGCAGAACCAGGGACAATTTTCCCTACTGGTTCAGCTGAACTGGGCCGAACTGGGAGGATTTCACCCCTGTTCTGTGTGTAAGAGAGGACCAATTCTGGATCTAAATCCTTCCTTACCTTGATTTTGCCATCAGTGGATTCGTAGATCAAGAGGTAGCCTGTGATAGAGCCCTGGGGTGGCTTCCACGTGAGCACGGCTGTTTCAAACTGGACATCAGAAGCAGCCAGAGATCTGGGAGAATCGGGACCTAATATTGTGAGACGGATTACAGGAATCAAATTGATAGAACTCCATCCGCACAAATCTAGCTGGAAACAGGTCACCAAGATCTGGCGAATTAGGGGGGGACATGTCAACCACATCCTTATCAGTTCCCAAGAACGACACATGGAATTACTCAAGTAGATCCCTTTACTGTGTTCTGACCTAGGCTTCCCCAAAAAGCACGAGGTAGATTCCTGGTCCTGACAAAACCCTTTTTATTAAACTAATGTGAATTCCTCTCATTCCCATTCAGCCAAGGCCTGGCAGACAGTCTTTCAAAGGAGTATTTACAACCACAGACCTTATCTAACTTGGAAATCTGCCATGTGAATATTTCCTAAATGAGGTGCTGTGCAAGGAAAGGCTGGGCACAGAGTCTCCGAGATTCACAGACAGATCTTCGCACTCTTGAAATGAATCTAACGAATGAATGAACGAATTGTTTCCTGCAAAAGCCCACTGCTCTTTCACTCCTCTTTTATTTCCTATAGGAGGGGCCATTCACCCTCCACCTGTGACTTTACTCCCAAGTTAACCCTGCTTTCTTAGCTGTTCTTTTAGTCTGGCAGCTCTGCACATGTGCACACTGGGAACAGGCTCCAGCTGTTCCTCTGCCTCACTGCTGTCTAGCTCCGAAGGCAGCTGATCACTGCTAGACGGCCTCGGTCCCCTCTCTGCCTCCAAAGCAGAGACCTTGTCCGAGCCTTCCCCAGACTCCAGGACTGGCCTGAGTTGCCAGATGAAAGCTAAAGGACAGGGGTTGACATGGGAGTAAGGCCACAGGCAGACAATGAATGGCCCCTCCCAGAATCAATAGAACATAAGTGCATTAACATAAGCGCCCTCTGCTGTCACGAGTGGAGCTTCACATGTGTGTGCTTGCTGTTCTTTCCCTGTGGTCTGGTTTCAAACATGGTTTGTGGACCCCTAATATATATTGTACATGTGACATGTGATGCGACATCTAGAAAAAATACACCATCCTTCACTTAATCCTCCAGGGAGAGATTGAAGGCAAACAAGGTGCAGGCAGAACAAGAATTATCATGGTTTAAAACCCAAGGGGCCAGTTTGGAAAAACACAGCAGCATTTTTTCTTGTGGCTGTTGACAAAAATAGAATCGTCAACATGACCTCCAACGTCTGATGAAGGATATGGCATAACAACAACAACAACAACAACAACAACAACAACAACAATAATAATAATATAGCACAAATTCACTGTTTGGGGGCTCCCCGAATAGGCTACTTTGGGGCACTGGGTTAGATGTCATAACTTGACCCAACGACAGTAAATGAGACAAAAGCTAGCCAAGTTACCTGTAATAAATTTGGCGGAGAGACTTCTGCTTTTCTGAGCGCCCTTGGCAGCTTGAATCCTGAGGGTGTATTCAGTTGCGGGTCGAAGGCCAACGAGATCATATTCCATGGTGTTGCCGGATACCCTCTGCGTCACTTCTGTCTCTAATGGACCGAGAAGGGCAAACGTATGATAAAGGAGCAAGGCACGAATTGTTCCTCTTGCTTTGCTTATTCTAAGAGACATTCATTCATCCCACGATTGTGGATGTTGACAAATGTCAGGTTGGAATAGACTGTGAGCTGCAAAGTATATCTGTCTGTCTGTCTGTCTGTCTGTCTGTCTGTCTACCTATACTTTGCACCCCACACACTATTCCAGCATGACATTTGTCAACATACATAATTGTGGGATATTCTATATATCTATATCATCTATATCATCTATATCTATATCTATATCTATATCTATATCTATATCTATATCTATATCTATATCTATATCTATATCTATATCTATATCTATATCT